AGTACCCCTGTCTATCCAGTCCACAGGGCCACCCACAACATTTTGGCACCTGAGGCGGGGAGCTCAAATGACACCCCCATGTCTCCTCGCTTGGGTCAAAACTTTGAAAGGTCTCAATTCTGCCTTCTTCCTGTTCTTCTCCTGTCATGGTACTGCTCTGCTACCTACCCCAATAAAAGAGAATTAACAACTTAAAATGCCTTATTCAAAAATTTTAAGTAACACTTAACTTTCAAACGCCTGAACAGCAAATGTAACTTTTCTTGTCTGCGTAGAAAACACTGGCATTTTTATCTGTTTGAATAATCAAAGTGGTGCTTTCCGTGCCTTCTTGGTTGCAAAGATTTGAACTGCTTCCTGCTGAAGGTCCACAGTCTGGGCCAGATCATGCTTTATTGAGACGGTTGCAAGGCTGACCAGCCTCTTCTGTGTCATTGTGGAGTGCAGATGTGTTTTTATTAAGTTCAGCTTGGAGAAGCTGCGTTCCACTGGCAACTGTTACAGGAAGTGTTAAAAGTATGCACAGAGCAACAAAAGCATTTGGAAAGAGGGTGATCATCTTATTTGTGCACATATATTCCAGAACAGCCTTTGGAGTTGATCCTGCTGAAATGTATCTTGAAAGTGCTTTCAGTTCATCGCCTAAATCACTCGCATCAATATCGCACATGTTATCATGTGTCAACACTGTCTCTAGTACCCTGCATTGCTGGTGTAGGTCTTCTTCAGGTATAGTGAGGAGTTTTGGAATATCATAGAACATCCCAAATATACTGCTGTCTTCCTTGAGCTGCGTGAAACTTTCTTCAGCTGACTGTATTGCACAATCTAGCACAGGGTTAAAGAATTCAATTTTGAATTGTTGTTTGGGGTCTCTTATGGGATTATCCCGTGCCTCGTAATCAAAATGTCATCTTCTTCGGTGACTCTTCTATTCTTGAATGGGTGGGAAAATAGCTTCAGTGTGAAGTTCCTCCTCTAACTTCTGTGCGCTCTTCAGAACGTTTTGAAAGCCCTCATCTGACCGGTAAGACTGTAGGTATGACTTTGCTTTGTCCAGTTGTTCCATTGCTCCAGATATATCAAGGACAGCACCTTGGAGTCTCTTGCTTATAACATTTATTTCAAACAGTATGTCATGCCACAACACTAAGCCACACAGAAATGTAAAGTTATGTATGTTTCTGGTGATTCCATTTCCCTCTGCCACTGTTCTCCCATGAACAGTTCCTGTCATAGCATTATCCTCCATAATGGCAACGATGGCATCCTCTATCTTCCCAATTTGGTGTTTGATAGGCTTTATCGCCTCCACTTGACTTTCCCATCGTGTGGCACTCAGGGTTTGTGTCAGAGAGGATGTTCCCAAATGTTGCTTCAAAATTTGACGTTGATGAGTTGATGCAGAGACAAATACATAGATGCTTTGAATTACATTACAAAATTCAGCAGCCTCACTAGAAGCAGATGCTGCATCACTGAGCCCCAAGTTCAATGAATGAGAACTGCATGGGACAAAAAAAGCTCAAGGGTTTAACTCTTGGATCCGTGTCTGCACTCCTCTGTTCTTTCCTCTCATGTTGGCACCATTATCGTAGCCCTGACCTCTCATGTCAGCTATCGCAATTCCCGTATCGTCCAGCTTTTTAAGAAGCACATTTGTCATACCAGCTCCTGTAGTATCATCAATGTCAATACATTCTAGAAAATGCTCTGACTGTCCCTGCAATGGTGACTTTTTCACTAGGTTCTGTTGTTTTACAAAATGCACCATTAAAGTCATTTTGTTCCATATGGGTGATGTCAGGTGTGCAGTCCAGAATAACAAAGTAATATCTTGCTGACTTCAGATCTGCCACAATCTTCTGTTTGACTTTTGTTGCCAGTAACTATGTGATCTCATTTTGAAATTGTTTTTCCAAGGTAGTGGTGTGTGTACATTTCTTGGGTGGTGACTCTTCTTAGACGCTCCTGGAGTACAGCATCAAACTCAGCCATCAGCTCTATAATTTTAAGGAAGTTTCATTGTTTGGCACATACAGCTGATCTGAAGTGCCACGCAGTGCTGGGTTTTGAGTAGCAAGCACTCACAATGGCAATGAGCCTTTTCAGAACATTTTGCCAGTAAAGAGACTCTGATGCAATCTTCTCTTGATGCTGATCATCTATGGTGGCCTTTAACCTTAGTCTCATCTCAAGCTCTTTCCAGCTATGCAATGCTCTCTGGTAATTTGCTGCCTTCTCATGGCATGCCAGATTTCTAGCCAGATTTTTCCAGTTCTTTGTTCCTGTGGAACCCAAGTGAATGGAACATTAGACTGGAAGAGTTTGCAACAAAAACAGTAAGCAGCATTCTGGGTTTTTGAGTACATAAACCTTGTCACCATTGGGGATTCCACGCCAGTAATGTGTTGGATGGAAACTTCTATTTTCATTGTCTTTGGGGTTTTTCACTTGCTGTGGCCCATGCAGCACAAGGAAGTCCCTCAGGCTACTGCTCAAGTGGGTCCACAGTCCTGGATCATCTACACTTAAGGAACTAAACTCAGCAGCAGGTGTTTCTTGTGCCTCCACCACACGCTTCTCTGATCTACACTTTTCTTCAGGAATGTACATGGTTACATCCATTTGAGATGGAGATATGGATGCTGCAGTAGCTGCCAGGTTACCTGCACTCTGACTAACTGGAAGATCAGGCATCTCCTCACCACGCACATCCTCACAGGGGCCGGAAGGCTCACCGTGAACATTTGTGTCTATGTATCTCAGGAGAACTCCTTCCTGCTTAGATAGAAAAGCTTCCTTTGCTTTCTTTCTTTTACTGAATGCTGCCCCAGAGGGGTGTTTTCTTCTTTCACTCATGACTGCTGTTCTGTGCCAGCTATATTGGCTCTCAACGCTCAATTGAAGGGGACAAATAAGCAGGCTGGTAGCAGGGCCTGCGTGAAGGAAGATATCAGCGTCTTAAGGGCCTAACTGGCTCCTACTACTTCAGTTGACTGCCTGTTCTCCTCAAGTGGGTTCAGGAAAGCAGCAGGAAGCTCCCTGAGAAGCTGGTGTTAATCAGTCCAGGCTCCTGGGGATGCTAGACAGGTACATAAGAGGCTCCTACTCCTCTCTCTCCCTGCAGCTCCTGCTGCTTTCGGTTATTTCCTCTCACCTTGTCTCCTGCTTGCCTGTTATGTCTCTTGTGCCCTCTTTCCTCCAGCACAGCACTCCACCATTTCTGTGCATCTAGAGCAGAGAGAATACATATGCACCAGCAGCAGACACAATTTTCTGTCTGGGTCCTAGTGGTTATCTCCCCCCCCCCCCCCCCGCCAGTCTAGCATCTGAGTCGGCCACCTCAGTTCGCCTCATGGTAGGGCTAGCCCTGCCACTCCACAGTTGCTCTTGTCCATGGTGGCTCTACTAAAGTGGCGACCTTCAGTAGTACCTACTACACTGGGTAACTTTGACCCCAAAAGATTATATTTATAGTTGCTGTGACACTAATTTTATTCTTAACCCTGTTGTGCAATGCTGTGCCCAAATGCGAACCACATTAGGGCACAAGATAATATGAGATGCAGCAAGGAATCTTTTTTGGTTACTTTGAGTGTTTTATATTTCAATGAGCCTTCCGAGTAGTTGTTTAGCTACAGGTGTATGCATTGGAAATAATAACACATGGTGATATGCTAGATAAAGAAAATGAGTACGGCATTAAAATACTCATTTAGGGATTATGGATCAAATAAACAATTATACTGAATAGAAAATTGGATACTGTTAGTCACTGGAATTTTCATTTTCTGTAGAATTGGACGACTGCTGTCTGGTTAACTTACCAATGCATTGGTAACAGTTTTTCTGTTTCATTTGCTGTTTCATTTTCTGAGTCATAATTGACAGTGTAGCTGAGAAATAAGGGAATCAGAATGTATGTATGAGATTAGTAATGGTGAAATGTGTAGGACTGAAGAATTATTGTAGGTTTTTCTTCTTTGGGTCTTTGTTTGTTTGTTGGCATTTAACTGTATGCCACTTGAGAAATGAAGGGAGCTAATTGATACATGTCCCAACCCGAGAAAATCCCACCTTTCCAACACATACCCTTGTTGGCAGCTTCAGAAGAGTAGCCTAATACTGAATAAGCCTAAAGGCTGATTATGTGTCTCGACCCAGAAATGTTCACTGAAAACATAGGAAAACCGACACAATTTAAAAAAAAAAAGAGTACTTGTGGCACCTTAGAGACTAACAAATTTATTGAGCATAAGCTTTTGTGAGCTACAGCTCACTTCATCGGATGCAGCTCACGAAAGCTTATACTCAAATAAATTTGTTAGTCTCTAAGGTGCCCCAAGTACTCCTTTTCTTTTTGCGAATACAGACTAACACGGCTGCTACTCTGAAACCTGACAATTTTAAAAGACAATACAAAATTCAACCAACTATTGTAGCTATCAGATCAAGAGGTAAGATGTGATGTGGCACTTATAATCATCTCTGCTTTAAAAATATAAGAAGCTTGGGTTTGAATTTTCTTGCTCTTAATTTCTTGCTATTAGATGTTGGATGAGCTGTCTGTCCAGAGTAATTTTGGGTGCTTGTTTACAGTTGGTCAAAATACGAATACGTTTTGTGGATTAGTAAACGAAGACAATCTAGTTTTTGTTTTATATTTCTGAAGTATTTTTGGTTTACCATTAGAACGAATCCAGACTGGGAATAACTTGTATTTGTCTTTGGTTTTTGGGTGTTTAAGACGTTTTGGTTTTCTAAATGTCTGAGATGTAAATATTATGTAGCTATTTTATTGGTGTAGTTTTTTGTTTAAAAAGTCTTATAAAAATCACGAACATACAGAAAGAAAAATTGAATATTTTACATTTTGTCTAGACACTTTGTGCTGTTCAGTTTTTCCCATTTAACCCAAGAATTTTACTGTAGTAACTTACATATTCCCATAATTTTAATACTCAATGAAGTAGCAAAATGGGGAAAAAAGATGAGTATTACAAAATGAAAAAATTTATTTGTAAGCAATGACAGGGGTGATATAAGCAGATACAGTGCATTTTAAATCAGTTCAGCTTAAAATCACTTTCTAGAAAAAGTGCCTTTTGAAATGTTTGGTTTTATTATGGCTGTGGAGAGTCTTCGCAGCTTATCAGTTGCTGTTGAGTACATTCTTCCTTTATTATACCTGGTAAATTAATACAGAAAGCATTTAACATTATTATGTAGTAAAGGTGAGTCCAGATCGCCTCAATTCATAAACCTTTATTAAATATTTTTGAATCTTTCTTGATAAATTGCATTACAAAACATGTTTGGATCATGCTTCATAGGTATTTTTTGGGTAGGTCTTTAGTATGACTTCATATGTTCTTAATTAAGCAGTGTGTTAAAATATTCCTATGACTCGTATCAGGTCTTCTGATAGTACAGAACTGTATAATATTCCAAATCAGTGTATGAAGCTGTAAAATAATAAAGTGATCCAGATCCATCATTAAGCTTTCCTTCTGCCCAGGGTTAGGGTTTGACAGTAATTTTATTGACATTGTTAGCCATGTTCAGCAAACGCACAGCAGTTGTATAAATTACATATGCACACACAGTGTTGGTAGTCTAGGTTGAAATACTACAGTACTTTTGTATATAATGTGCCTCTTCTCAATGTACTCCTTCTCCTGTGAGAATCTTTGTTTCTTTATGTGCTATAAAAGTCTCAGTAATTTTTAGTCTAAATGTCTTGGAAAGATAAAAATATAAAATAGGATCAAAACAGAGATTCAACACTGCCAACAGCAGAGTGGATTCCTTTGCTTTAAAGAGGGATTGTTTCAGAAGACAATCGGTTATAGCATCACTCTGGCTCAAAGTATAGGGGATCCGAACAATGTGGTAAGGAACGAAACACATGATGTAGCCTGCTGTTACTAACAGTATATTTATCTGAGCTTTCTTTACATTTGCATAACTCTTGCTGTATTTGTTTAGGTAAAGTTGTCTAACAACAAGAAAATTGGAAATAAGTATCATGGCTGAAAAATTCAGGAATATTGCTGTACATATGAAATTAGTAAACACATGCCAATCTTTTCCAACTGTTGTTTTGAAATCAATACACCCCACAGTAGGCTTTTGTTCTATTTCTTTGATTGGAATCACCATGTTAGGTACCATTATAAGGAGAACCATTATCCATACAACTGCAGATAACATCTTGGCAAATCCAGGTTCTTGGATTCGATAGATCTTAGTACTGTGCATTAACTGAAGGCAGCGGTCCATGCTTACAAATCCCAAAAATATGATTGATAAATACATGTTAATATAGATGAGGCAAGCTGTGACCTGGCAATGGAATATCCTCAGTCTCCAGGGGGCAATACCTAAGTCAACAATTATTTTTACTGGCAATGCCAGAGTCAACAGGAAATCAGCTGTTAGGAGGTTAATTAGATAGATGCTCATACATTTTTGTTTCTGATCCTTTTGAGTGAATGCCCATAGGGCAAAACAACTCCCAATAAATCCAATGAGGAAAATTAAGTAGTAAAAATAGGTAAATGGTTCCAGTTGTCTGTAGACACTGCAATTTGAGATATTGCTTAAGGACATTTTAATTATCCGGTGGAAAAGTAAGGTGTTTTGGCTGCTTAAAGATATCTAGAACCTGAAAAGTAAGACATTAGAGATAATTAGTGTGAGAATCTTGTTCCGTATAATTTCATAAAAATGTGTGACAAGACTTGGTAATGATATTACTGAAACTGAAGTATTTGTATTTCTCAGTGTCTGGAATAGTTCACATTAAGTTGCATGGGTTTCATTCAAGTTTTAAGCAATTTATTGAAATATCTTGGGTCCCTTTCCTACAAACACTTATGCTTGAGTATGTTCACTCATGTGAAGAGTTCATTTAAGCGAATGGGACTATTTGTGTGTGTGTATATAAAGTTACTTGTGTATCTGCAGCAGGGCTGCCCCTGGGGTTTTTTCTCCTCTGGGTGGAAAACATTTTCAGTGTCACCCAGCAGTTGACCTAAAAGAAATAAACCCCCAAACAAAACCACACAACAACAGATGAGTGGAGCAGCGGAGTAAAATAAATAACTAAAGAGACTGAGTTGTGTGCCCCCCCAAATGGTGATTTGGCACCATTAAAAGTTGGGATTCAGGGTGATCACCTTGCCCCTAAGACTGGCCCTGATTTTGCTGGATCAGGGACCTAGTTAGTTCATTGGAGCCACATTCAAATGTAACTTTTTTTAAAAACTCAACAAAACAAAAACAAACAAAAAACCAAACCAACCCTCCCAAATCCCCCCACTTAAGTTAATGTTTATAAAAATACTTCATATATAAAATATTACAGGATTAGTAAACATTAATAATACTCTGTCAAAACCAATAAGGGTCTATCCAATAGAGAGCTGTGCTCAATACTAAATATTCCTAAAATTGTTGATTCTTCTAGTTAAACAAAACAAAAATATATTTGATAAATATTTTATGTAGTTCAGAAAACATTTAAAGAATGTCAGTCATTTGCATCATATTTTCAGGCTTCCTCAGACATTTAGGGAAAGGAAAGTGTATTTGCTTAGATGGGAACCTAAGTATTATTTTAACTATCTGAAACTACCATTGTATAACTTTTTTTTTTATAGTAGCTACACTGGCATTAACTTTAGTTGGAACATGTTGACTGAAGAGGAAATGAGTATGTTAAAGTTTTTCTGAGAAATAAGACAAGGAAGCAAGTCTTTGTTGAAATAGCATTGAACCATATTAGCTTTCTATTTATATAGTACTGTCTTTTTCATTTGCTAAAAATTCTGTTTGTTTTAGTGATCAAAAATAATTCTAGGTTAAATGTTGCCTGAGTAGTAACAGTTGACAATGAATCAATATAGCATAATTACTTGGCCTGTGTGTATTGTGTATATAAAAATGCAACTACTTGAAACTACTCATGGCTAGAAATAGAAGATCTATAACATTATTATAATCACCCTTCTGCAAATGGAGGATATTACCCTCCCAATAAAAGAGATTATTAACCTGAGGTTAAATGAAGTTGAATGCCCACAAGGTACAGAGGAAATAGTTGGTTTTGTTCCTGAGCCAACAGAAGGTGGGGGCCAAACTCCTGATATGAAAGAGAATTCACTGTGTCATTCCACAATGATTATTCTGCTTGATTTCAGATGAGTTTGGGAATGAGCTGTATCCAGTTCTCTTTGGCTCAGGGGCTGCTCTACTGGAGGGCTTTTTTTTTATGTGGAAGGAGCCAGGGTCTCCAAAGGGCAAGACATTCAAAATGGTTATAATGAAGTAACACTTAATAAGTGCAGTGAAAAACATTAGTGCTTTTAATATTTAACCTATTAGTTTTTCAGTGCATTTGGCATATTATTTAGTATTTTATACAATATATTTACCTTGGTGTATATGGACATATTAAAATGTATAAAAAGCATTTAAAATACATACCTTCCTTTTTAGATTCTGAAGTCTCATAGGCATTAGAAGAAAGTTTGTAAAATGCTTGATTAGTCTCAGTGGATAGTCACATCTTTGTCTGATAATATGTAAATCCTTTCCCCTTTGTGCGTAGGCTGCTTTTTAAGAGAAATGTCTCTGTGGTTTTTAAATGTGTAGATTGACGTAATTAAAACCAGCACTCAAATTACTAAACAACCTGGAAGTTACCTAAAAGGGTCATGATAGAAAAATGTTAGTGTTCACGGAACAATCCAAAGTTGCCTTTTTCCTCTTTGGGAGAAGATGATGTTATGGAACAATGTTTTCTTGAGCTGAAGGCAAACTGCCTGCAGCTGTCATGGGGCCAGAACTTGCACAGCCCTCTACACCTGTTAATTTCCATTGACTTCAGTGCGATATTGAGGGCACATTGCATCTTGCAGGACAAAACGAGAGTGAGCTGTGTGGGTAGAAGGCAGCCTCTTAAAGAATAGAGTTATAAACTCTGACGTGCTAACACAAATAGAATGGATTACCGTGCTTCAACATTTTGGTGGCATTTGGGTAATTTCTATCATTTTAGAGCAGGGGAGGGCAAACTACGGCCCGTGGGCTGGATCCGGCCCATCAGGGCTTTCAATCTGGCCCGTGGGATTGCCAGCTCCATGGCGCAGCGGGGCTAAGGCAGGCTCTCTGCCTGCTCTGGCCCTGCGCTGCTCCTGGAAGCAGCTGGCACCACGTCCCTGCGGCCCCTGGGGAAGGGGGAGGGAGGGGCAGAAGGCTCTGTGCGCTACCCTCACCTGCAGGCACCAACCCCCAACTGGCACCAACTGCCATTGGCTGGGAATGGGGAATCACACCAATGGGAGCTTCGGGGGTGGTTGCGCAGTGGCGAGGGCAGTGCGCAGCGGAGCCACCTGCCACACCCCACTCCCAAGAGCCACTGCCGGACATGCTGGCCACTTCTGGGTGCGGGGCCAGGGCAGGCAGGGAGCCTGCCTTAGCCCTGCTGCGCGCCGCTGCCACCCCAGAGCCGCTCGAGGTAAGTGGCGCAGGGCCAGAGTCCGCACCTACAGGCTTGTCAATCTGTTGTAATAAAAATTAAGGTTAACAAACATTGATTTGATTGTGAATGAGGGATTGATGACTCTGCTCAAACCTTAATTTATTTTAAGACTGAAACTTTGGGCTTGTCTGGATGGTGATGGCAAAGCTCATTAGAGGTATGTGATTTGTGCTAACATGTGGGGCTCTAACTGCCCTGTGTAGACTCTGATGGTGCTCTCTAAAAGGTACCTAATTCACCTTAAAGTCGTCCAAACAGGACTATGTTAATGTGAAGCAGGTACCGTTTAGAGACTGCCAGCAAGGTCTATATGGGGCAAGTAGATCCCAGCATGTTAGTGAACTTTATAATTCATAATCCCTGGCACGCTTTGCTGTGCTGTGTGGGGAAGCTTTGTCACACGTTCACTTGCGTTCCCCTTTCCTCCCCACTGTGCACTTTCAAGTTATGGCTGGAATTAGAATTAGAAGCGCCAAGATGCTGTAACTAAGGGCTGGTCTTGTGGCATGTGGTTTGGAAGCAGAAGCAGAGGTATAAGAAATCTTATGAGTAAGTCTTTTCTTGCAAGAGTTACAGCCCAGTTTGCAGACTTAAAAGTTTCAAGTGCTTCTAGTAGATATCTAAGCATATGGATGTCTTTCTGAACCAAATTCAAGTTTCAAATCTTCTGAGATTTGTCCAGTCTCTACTAAAAATAGATGGGCTGAGCGAGCAGCAAAAATCTTCATATTTTTCTTTTTGAGAAAAAACCCAGACAGTAGAACAAGCTGTTGAATTTAGCCTAGTTTCTCTGGCAGTAGTACAGAGAAACTAAAATGTACAGCAAACTCACTGCAGACAATCGTCAAGATCTCAGAAAGTTGAATGACATGCCAAATGGAAGTAGTTATCACCACCAACCAAAATACCCTTATTGCCTACAGGGTTGGGAAAATCCTTTGTAAAGAAACTACTCCGTGTGTCTGGTTTCAAGCTTAGTCACAAACTCAAAACTCAGACTATGTTTGTGAAATGTTTGGAAAGGTTCATAAAGTTTTTGAGTGATCCTGGATTCAGAATTGAGCAAATGTGGGTGGAGTTATGGCTTTCCACCTAAATCATGCAGACCTGGTAGTTCTGTATGTTTTTAACATGAAACCCCAGGTGCTCAAATTTAATTTCATTTTAAGATTTTGGAGTTCAAGTTGAACCCAGATCTCTGAGAACTTCCTCAGGTATATAAAAGGAGAAGAATCCTCCTGGATCCAAAAGGAATGAAATGTCTCTAGTTTTCCTAAATCTTTCTAGTTATTCAGAAGGGGAGGAGGCATGGCATTATCTCCAAATGAATAAAAATGCAATTTATGTCATTTTAAGATTTTGTCTTTATTTCTGGATCAGCACCCCCTCAGTAAGCTCCCCTGTTTGTGTCAGTTATTGAAGAAGTCAGTGGGGTTCATATATATTTTTACTTTTTATCATGATGGCTGACTGATCTAGCCAAAGGTATCAAGACACTTCTATTTTAAGCCCCCTTCTTGCAGGAGGCAATACGTCACGGACCCCAGCTTTCAGAGAAAAGGATAGGACTTCCGTCATAGTCAGAAGTTAAGAAGCAGCGGTGTGACTCTAAAGTGTATAAGGCAGTTTGTAGCCCTTTCTCTCAGGAGGAAGAATGTTATAAACATAATATTCCCCATCTGATTAATTTAGAGTGTTGGTACTTGAATCCAGAAAGTTCACATCCACCCATCATTCAGGCCTTGATTCAAGAAAGCATCTCTATTTGGGAAAGCACTGAAGAACATGGTTAAATACTTTCCTGAATCAGGGTTTGACAATCATTTGTTAGGCCGGTTACTGACATACAAGGCTTTGCATACTTTGTGACCACACAGGGTATGTCTGCTCTGCAATTAAAATCTGTGGCTGGCCCATGCCAGCTGACTTGGGCTCAGCCTAAGGGGCTTCTTAACTGCAATGTAGACATTTGGGCTCAGGCTGGAGCCCAGGCTCTAGAGGACCTTGCGAAGTGGGAAGGTCCCAGAGCTCCATCTGCAGCCCGAGCACGAACACTACGCCACAGTTACAGCCCATTAGCCCAAGCCCATAAGCCTGAGTCAGCTGGTGCAGGCCAGCTGTGGGTTTTTAATTTCAGCATAGACATATTCACAGTCTCATGGGTTTTTCTCTTGTGGAGTTTCTAACCCTCATAAGAGTGAAAAAGATTGAGAGCTGCTGTACTCATCCTCTGACCTGGGATGTTGCTGATGGGCGTGAACACTTTGGTCATAGGGGTTCACTTTTGCCGTGTTTGTTGTCCTGAGTCCTAGAAAAATCTCTCTTGCTGTCTTTTGCTGTCACTTTTAAAAATGTGGGAGCAGGAAACACATGTATGTATATAATGCAGAACAATAGGAAGGAAGCAGGCAAAATGCTGGTGAGGTAGCTGAAAACAGTATTAGAATGGCTGTATTGGTTGACATGGCAGTGTAAATGGAGATTCATATGGCATTTTGCTAGAGAGGAGAGTTACAAGGCCATTTGCACAATCACATTACATGTGGGATGTAGGAGAGCAACATATTTAGAAGCTTGTTCAGGCCTCAGAAATACAGTAGTCCTGCCATGGAGTGAGTTACCGATGAGATGAATTTGGCCCATTGTCTTTGGATCCTTGTCTTATGTACAATGTAAAGTTGTATGTTCTGTAATGTTACAAATACAGATGTCAATTTTAGATTTCTCTCAGCTTTGAATTCTTTTGTGTGTATGTGTGGGTTGAGTTGCTGAACTCCAATGTGTCTGTATAAAGTTGGAAAACACACACACAGGAGTTGGCATCTCACACACTAACACAGTCTAAGCTGAGAGAAATATGTGTAACATTGTGTTTGTAACACCCTAACCATAGTAAAAAAAACTTTCTATATTTTAGAGAGAGAGAGAGTGAGTTTGAAAATATAATTTAATGAGTTGGGGGAAATCTTTATTTTTTAATCCGGGATTTATGTTGATATTTAAATATTTACATGGTATTAGGAGGTGATCACTCTTGAAGATGTACTAAGTGTTTTTTTTTCTTTCAGCCAGTTACTGTGAGAGCTGAGTTTACTGGGTTTCTGAAGTTTATATTAATCAGGGGACTAATAAAAATGAGTCCTGGAATTTTCCTTTATCCCTTTCTCCACATCCATTTTGTGATTATAAGCTTTGTGACTAAAACTGTCTTTAAGGAGTAATTGTTGACAAGTTTTATTAGCAGCATTCAACCATGGAGTTCTTATGGTGGTTCTTTCATTTATGGTTTTCTTCCTGTTTGTTTGTTATGAGGAATCCAAGTAAACTCTGGCTCTGTTCGTACTGTCCCTAAGTCTCATGAGGGAGGCTCCTGCACGTCTTTTTGGGAAATAAGCAAAAAGAAGTTTTTCTGTACATTTTTAACCTCTACATATACTAGCTAGCAATTTCGGCACACTGTGTCTTGTGACTTTCATTTGACAGATTCATTGTTTACCCCATAATATATTTACAAAAACATCAAAAATTTAGATCCTGCCACAAGGGAGTTATATGAATTGTGATCAGGGTCATTTATTGTGGGGTTGAGGGGAAGGAATGGACTTTAATTTTTTGAGTTAAACATAAAGAATGGTAAATTATTATTTTGTAGTTCAGTGTAACTCCTGTCTCTTTAAGACTGTAATCTCTTTTGGGAGGGGCATAGTTCTTGTTTGGCACACTGCACTGTGTGCAGCCAAGCTGCTGTATAAAAATGGTAATGAGCAGGGCCTGTAAATGACCTAGTGCTGCACTTCATGGCAGCTAATGTCAGCTGCGTAACGTGATCGCAAGTATCTTCCCTGACAGGCTATGGTATAGTGTTTTTATAATGTGTAATTAATTACTTTTAATTAATTCATGTTTACACAGTGCTTTAAAGATGTGCAGTGCTGTGTAAGTGATCCTTATTAGTTGATCTATTAAGAGATGTTGCTATTAAATATACTTCCATAAAAAGGATGCATGATTAAAACTTAAGGAAATCAGTCA